GCACTAATTATTATCTACAGCTACAAAAGCATGTGGTGTTTTCTGTGTTTAGGCAGCTAGTTTCAGAATCCAATAATAGCCCATTTTACACTAGACAAGAGCCGAAAAAGTTGTATGTAAATCAGGTTTCTGACAACTTAGTCCTGTTTCAAAATCACTGGAAGAGAGACCAAAAGGAAAGAAACTTCTGATGAATTTTTTCATTTTGTTTTTGGTGAAATGAAACCATTCATGTACCACAATAACTAGAATTGCCTCCCTTCTAGACCATTCACAATTTATCAATTGAGATTTTGTGTTGGCATCTTTTTAGAGTCAGGATGCTTAACTGCTTGCCTGCCTGGCATCGTTACATTGCTTTCTTGTCTCTTCCTTTCATTCTTTTCCTTGGCCACTTTTAAGTGGCCTGTGACTCACATAACTCATCAAATACATTAGAAGCAGACCAAGATGTTCAGGGATGGTCCCAAGAAACCTGGACCTGGCAGTCATCCCAGCTGTGGGGGAAGCCACACGTTTCCTCAACCAGCTCAGCTGGCAGAGGTAATTATAGAGGGAGGTGGAGGCCCTTGTTCAGAGCAGCAGGAGGGAGCAGAGAGAACAGGTCCAGCAGCCTTTTGTTTCAGCTCAGGATACATGAAATGACCTATGTTCACAAGAGTGCTTACAAACCACTTCCCTAGGGGTCTTTAAAAATAGCAACATGGAGCCACTGGCCAAGAAGTACAGGAGAGGACTTCCCTCATGCCTAACCCACACCCTGGAGTGTCCCAGAGAGGTTCTGAGGATTTGAGGATAGCAAGAGCCTGGAGGTTCAGAGCCAGACTGAGATTTAGTTAGGACTGCGAGGAGTGAGGCACAGGCCAGATGGAATGTGACCTGCTGTCCCCTCCCAGAGCGAACAGTCAGAACTTGAGTTTGGCCTCTGGTTCCCAGAAGAACAAAGGGGTGTTGACCTGGAGGCTCCTTGTGTAAGACCTTCTCGAGGTTTACCAGCCCAGTTCTCTTGTGGACGGAGATGGCCAACAGGAATGTGTTTGGCACCACGATGAGGCATGTCTGCAATGAAATGGTAGATTATTTCCTTTCTTGCTCTAAGCACTCATGCCATGGGATGAACAAGGTGTTCTCTTATCTTACCGTTGTGCAGAGAGAGGTGGTCATTCACAGGAGGGTTCTAGAAGATGAAGACATTTCTAGATTTTCACACAAAGGGTATTGTGAAGGAGGAAACACCCTCCCATTGTGGAGCAGAGGACATTCAGGATCCTGAAATCTCACATTGCCTATCTTTTTTAGTCTCTGCCCCACAACCTGCCCATTTTAGACACTGTCCTCCTATCTTGCCTCCATGTTTCCAGGGTCCAGTGAGAAAACTGGGGACCCATCAGGCAGTGGAGAATTCACAGTTGGAGTACTGAGGCCCATCGTTCTGGAGGCGGATGCCGTTTCTGCTTTCCTGTACATTGCCATCTGCTTATTCATTTACCAAACAGACACCTACTGAAATGATGACTTCTACAACACAGACTGTGCCTGGGAGGGTGACAGCCACATCCTTGCCTCTGTGTGTGTGTGTGTGTGTGTGTGTGTGTGTGTGTGTGTGTGTGTGTGAAAGAGAGAGAGAGAGATAGAGAGAGATTGAGAGACAGAGAGAGAGAATATACCATTATTGTTTTAGAGGCAGGGTTCTATGGCATGATCTCAGATAATCACCCCCCCTTCACACACACACAAACACACACAGACACACACAGACACACAGACACACACACACACACACACACACACACACACACACACACGGCCTCCCTCCCTCTATTGTACAGTTAGGTAAAATGGCAGGCTATCATGAATATCAAGTCTCCCCTGAAAGGCAGCAGCTGCTAAAGGACACTGGGTAACCAGAGTGGCATATGAAGCTTTGTGGGCCAGTGGTTCTTTGAGGATTTGTTTTCCAGTCTACCATCACAGAGTTGTATCGGCACCTTGACATCTAGCCCCAGCGCTCTAGACCTCTTTGGGATTTCTCAGTAGCAGAGGCTGGGGACACTTTCCAGATTAGTCCAGTTCCCCCTAACAGTGGGGAGGGGCACAGAGCCTAGCTGTGGTTGGCTCTGTCTTGGGGACAACACTGTTTTCATCTGGGCTGTGACTTACATATTAATAACTCTGTTTCCTGCTGTCCTCAATCAGGGTAGGTTAGACATCCCCTGTGGCTGCCTGTCCTACATGTAAGAGAATGTTTTTCATTCTCTGCAGCTTTTCAAGCTTAAACATCACCCTCTGTAAAGAATGTAAATGGTGGTTTGAGATTGTACAGAACTAGACAGAGGATGGTAAGTAGCAGTTACATTACTTTCTCAGAAAAACCTGCATAAGGATTTTATATATATATATATATATATATATATATATAATCTCATATGGGATTTGCTTCAGTCTCTTCAAAAGAGTGACCCTTTAAATGAGACTGTACTGGCTTTAAAACAAGATCAAATTTAATGTCCAAGTGCCCATCCTGTCACCTAGGAGGCACAGTCACAGGGCCATGAATTAAACTATTTAACCCTGAAGTCATGGAGAGCCTGTGTCTGAGTGATGGTTTTTGTCTTTAAAATGTTCAAAAAAGAAACGTCACCCCAAGCTTCGTGACTTTCCTGTGAGGACAGATTTTCCCTTGGTTTCATGGGCTAGAGTTGAGGATGGAGAAGGGCAGAACTCTCTAGAACTGGGTCGCCTGTGTGTGGCTTCTCTATCCAGGCCCTTTGCTTTGGTTTTCCTGGTGTTGAAATTTCCACTGTAGCTAGTAGCTCATGTTCAATGTGTGCCATCGTTAGCCAGCAGGATGTGGTAAGAAAACGTCTGAAAGTTATACACGATGATTGCTCTCATGTTTCTTCTCTTCTTCTCATGTTTAGTCTCCCTACTGTCTGTCTTTAGGGAGCGTGGACTCATGAGGACAGGCCCATAAGTAGGCAAATATAGAGCAATGGAGCCAGAGAGCACAGGGAGACCAAGGGCCTATGTGAAACCTCAGACCCTCACATCAGCCATTGCCTCAACATAGCACTGTCTGTGGCTGGGCATAAGTATCACCGAATCTAGACAGTATTAAGAAAATGCTTGCTTTCAAGAAATGCATATGACATACCCTGGTATTGATTTTGTTAGTAATAAAGGTGATACCTAGTTAGTTTTCTCTGTACTTAGAATTTTGATAGAGAAGAAGGGTGCCATTTGGAGATTCCAATGTGAACAGTTAATTTAGCTCTCAACCCTAAAAATGAAAAGAAAATAGATGGTGGGAATGTGCTATGTATCAAAAATGATGGGCTATGAAGCTGGAGTGTGTCAGGTGAGCTTTGCTGGCACAGGGAGGAGGAGTAGTGGGCAGGAATGAGGGTGTTTGAAGGCTTAGTTAGGGTTCCTATTGCTGTGATGACACACAATGGCCAAAAACAAGTTGGGGAGGGAAGGGTTTATTTGGCTTACATTTCCATATCACTGCTCATTATCAAAGGAAGCCAAGACAGGAACTCAAACAGGGCAGGAATCTGGAGTCAGTGGCTGATGCAGAGGCCATGGAGGGTGCTGCTTACTGGCTTGTTTCCCCCATTGACTTGCCCATCCACAAAGGGCTCTTCCCCATCAATCACTAATTAAGAAAATACCCTTCAACCAGATCTTATGGAGGCATTGCATTTTCTCAATTGAAGTTCCCTCCTTTCGGGTAATTCTAGCTTGTGTCAAGTTGACATAAAACTATCCAGCACAAAGACTGTTGAACATAGATCCTTCTAGAACACTGAATAAGGGAACCTATACCGAGAAGAAGCTAGAGAACTGGCCAGATTAGTTGATGCAGGGTTTGTATGTTGTGGCAAAGAACTTGGCACTGGTGGGAAAGGCTGTGGGATGTCAAGAGGATCTAATCCAAGAGAGATGCCTCTAGAAATGGACCATGAGAAACTCACATAGGAGATTCTTGACTTACTCCAGATGGGAGATCAGGGCCCCTTCGCTGGGATATAACAATGATTATACAGAGAAATAGTCTGATAGGAGGTGTCATCTGGAGATCCAGTCCTCAGAATTTACTGGTAAATTGGATGCAAGGGCTGGGGGAAAGGATAGAACTGAAGAGGAATCCCAAGTTCTTGTTCCACAAATAGACGGATGAAGGGACCATTTGCAAAGATGGCAGAGTGGGAGCAGGGAATCAGGAAAATTCAGACGCCCACAGACTTCTCTACAGCAGCGTCAGGTAAGCACTGGATACCAGGCCTGGTACTCAGAGGCTGTTGAGCAATGCACATGCTCAAACCCACTCCTCTGTCTCACCTACCTGGACGAGTCACTTTGCTAGTGTTTTGGTTACTTTCGGTTCGGCATCACCAGGTGCAAACGAGGGGAGAAAGTTTCCTTTGGCTCATGTTTTCAGTTAATGATGGAAGGAGAAGCACCGGGACACACCAGAGCCTCATAATGTGGTGGCGAACCAGGAAGCACTGAGGGCAGGCTGGAACCAGAGTCGGGTATAGCTTTCGAAGACCTGTGTCTAGTGGCCTCCTTCTGCCAGGTATGCCTTTTGTCCCAAAAGTCCCACAATGTCCTCAGACAGCACCACTGGCTGGAGACCAGGAGTTCAATGGAAATTGAAAAAACTGGAGGCCACTAGCGAGACTTATTATTGCTATTGTTCTTTTTATTGCTGTTATTTGTAGGGTCTGGGATTAAATGATACAGACCCCTTTTATAAAATTCTTCATAGATGGGTTAGAGGGATGACCCAGGAGTCTGCTCTTTGTAGAAGACCTGAGTACAGTTCCTAGCACCCATATCAAGTTGCTCAAGTTGCCCTGTAATTTCAACTCAAGGAGCTCTAACGCCCTCTTCTGGCTCCTCGGGCACCTGCCCTCATATCCACACACCCACGCACACACGAGCATACCCTTAATTAAAAATACAGTAATATAAAAATTCTGCCTAGAAAAAAATTATAAAGAATCATTTCATGACTTTATTTTGAGGAGATTCTCATCATTTCCAGGGCAATTTTTCCTCTTCATACAGTAGCTGGTTGTCAATCATTTTCCTGGGGCGAAGAATGCAGAAGACTTTTTATTCGCTTCAATGAACGTCTTTTAGAAAGAAAAAAAGACTCTTTAATTAATGTGTTTATGGGACACAATAGCTTTTTAAAGGCTCCAGTCCCTTTCTAGCATACACAGCTGTGCTTCAGAGCCCGATTCCTCACCCAGCCAGAGGGCCCCCCAGGGACCCACTATTCATCGAGCCTCCGTGTCTCATACTCTGCACAATGGAGCCACTTCCCTGCCATGCTCCTGCCTGCAGAATCTCATTCAGCGACCTGAAAGGGGCTGAGATATTTCAAGCTCATTTCAGGAATGTTTCATAATAAGAACTGGGGGAAAGAACATAATCTCATTTTAAAAGATTTCCTTCCTCTGCTCTGCTGATAGAATCAAACAATTGGGCATCCCATCTGTCCCGTAACCCGTCCAGATTGTGTGATGTGGTTTTGAAGTTATTTGAGTTTCTTTGTTCCAAGGCACCTCTGGGGGAATTCTTTCCCCTATGCGGTATACACACACACACACACACACTCTCTCTCTCTCTCTCTCTCTCTCTCTCTCTCTCTCTCTCTCTCTCTCTCTCTCTCTCTCTCTCTCTCTCTCTGTCATTTGATCCTTGGATTTGCAATTCCAGGAACAAAATAATGAGCCAGCACTGCAGGAAAATGTCACTCTGTTTCAGCAATCAGGACCTAGGACTGGAGAGTGAAGGTGATTGCTAAATGGCAAAATGGATTTAAAGGAACATTTTTCAAGGTAATAGGAAAACAGGCAAGATGCCTCAGTCAGTGAAGTGTTTGCCATGCAAGCATGAGGATCTGAGTTCAGTTCCCAGAGCTTACATAAAAAACTAAGTACAGTGGTGCGTGCTTGTGTTCCTAATGCTGGGCAGGTGGCGACAGGAAGATCCTGTTTGTGCAGGTGTACACCTTTAATCGCAGCACTCAGGAGGCAAAAGCAGACCAATTTCTGGAGTTCAAGGCAAGCCAGGGCCACATAATGAGACCTTGCCTAAAGAAAACAACAATAAAAAAGGACAAACAGGCACCCCCTAAACAAACAAACAAAAAACAAATACACTCTGTATGTACATGTACCCTGCATATGCACACATGTACCCTGCACACACTTACACCCTGCATACATATATACATACATGTACCACGCACACACATGCATCCTGCACACACATGTACCCTGCACATACATTCACACACACTATTTAATAGGAAAATACACAAATATTAAGATATTTAATCACTAATAAAAATCCACATAGGATGGCCCTCTGTGTAATGTTCTAACACACCTGTCATGTCTCCTCCCAGCCATGTGTCTGCTCCAGTCTGCTTGTGAAACTGCTTCCCTGGTGTCACCTCAGTCCCAGATGGAGGGGACAGCAGGCTATCACAGATCACCTGGATGGTCTTTTCTGGTTTCTATTGTGCCCACAATGCAGTTCAAGGGTCAGCAAAACTTTTAGAAATGGTCAAAGAGTAAATATTAGATTCTAGAGCTGGGTGGAGCTCAGTAGAAGAGCCTTGTGTGTGAGCAAAGCTCCAATTTGAGCTCCTGCACCTCAAAAAATAAGTAAATATAAAATGTTTTTTCATTTAGATTTCTTTTCCTTTGGGTTCTGGAATTAAACCAAAAGCCTTGGGCATGCTTGGCATTTGTTGCCAGTGAGCCCTAGAGTTTGTTGACCATACAGTCTTTTAATAACAACTAGATTCTGTCATATAGCATAAAAGCTGCTACCCATAACACACTAGCAAGTGGGATGATTGTAACTTAGTCAAAGCGTTTATGGACATTGAAACCTGAATTGCAAATAATACTAACATATCACCAATTTTTTACTTTTAGAAAATCATTAAAAAATAAGTAACATTCTTATGCCATGTGTCGTAAAAGACTAGACAATAGGCAGGTCATTGGACTGCTGTTTGCCAACTCTTTTCTAGTTTCTGGGTTTTGTGTGACTCTTGCCCTTTCTCTCTGCTATCCTGGTCACAATCCCTTGTCAACCAGCCACCATCACTGACACAGCATATAGAAGGTCACGAGAGGTGGGTTCCTGTATTTGTGGCTTGTTATGCTAAAGTATGACCTGCAGAAGGCGTCAACATTTTCATGACAAAAGACATGCCTGTCAAGAAAGCCAAACCCTGAACAAAAAGCTGGGATCTATACTTCAGTTATTAAAAAAAAATCACAATTTCACCTTATATAGCTGAGATAGCATTTGGTCTAATTAAGGTGGCAAGGTGATTGTGGTTGGAAAAATTGCCTGTCATAGTCTTTAAAAGTCTGTGCACAGCTGGGTGATGATGACTGACTAAGAACTGGAGCAGACAACATCATGATTTGTATCTTCTTTTTTTTATCTTTTTTTTTTTCAAGACAGGGTTTCTCTGTGTTGTCTTAGAGCCTGCCCTGGAACTTGCTCTGTAGACCAGAGTGGCCTTGAACTCATAGAGATCCACCTATCTCTGCCTCCCGAGTGCTGGGGAAGGCGTGTGCCACCAACGCCCGGCGATTTGTATCTTCTTACTTTTATCCGTCATCCACTTTCTGAGCATCTTCCCTATGGTGAAAACGAAGACACACAGCTTTGTTTGTAAGTTGAAGTGTGCTAATGCCAGCTCTTTGGTGTGTCTGATTATCTTTCACTTGGCAGATTTCATATTAAGATTGTCCTTGAACATTGAGGTCTCCCTGAACCCTAAAAAGAATGAAGCTGGACTCACCAAGGTCCCAGGGGGCACATCCCGGCTCTGTGTCTGCAGACTTTTCAGAAGTCTCCTTCCTTCTTTCCTGTCTGTCTCCCTCTGTCTTCTTCCCACTCAAAGATTTAGCCAGTTTCCATCAGAGGTCTGAATGGATATTTCCTGCCTTTCTCTGTAGCATACTCATTTCTCTTTACAAGAATATTCATAGTTAGCCGCCATTGCCAACTTGTATCTGGAGTCACCTAGGACACACCTCTGGGTGTGTCTGTGAAAGCATTTGCAGAGAACTTAACTGAAGACTCACACTGGATGTGGGTGACACCACTGGGGGAGGAGTCCCAGACTGAATAAAAAACAAAAAAGGAGAAAGTCAACTGAGCACCAGCATCCATTCCTCTCTGATTCCTGACCTTTGACAAAACGTGACCAGTCACCTCATGCTCCTGCCACCGATGCCTTTCTACCAGGTTGGATTGCATCCTCAGAACTAGGGGCCAAAAGAAATCTTTCCCTCTTGAGGCTGAAATTGTCAGGTATTTGGTCACAGCAGTGGATACTGATGCTTGAAATCAACTGGAGAAAAAGATTCCAACATGGAACTAAAGACTTTGGTCACACAAACCATCAATTAGTTAACAAATGCCTCGTTTCTTCTCCAGCACAGGGGATGGAATTCAGGGTCTTGTACATGGTAAACAAATGTTTTACTACTGAGCTATATATCCAACGCCCAAAGAGGTGTCTGAAGAGTCTCCCTGGAGACCTGCCATACTGCTTCCTGTCTGCTTCCTGTCTGTTTCCTGTCTGCTTCCTGTCTGCTTCCTGGCTACCTGTCATTTGCACTTCAGGATGCAGTGTCGTAGCTGAAAAGTTGGGTCCACCGACATGAGGAGTATTAGGAAGAAAGGGAAGAAACCACCTGGGAACCTTGATGTTTGATGTTCTTTGCTGAGAGGTATGAAAGGAATAAAGGGTCCACACTGAGGTTACAAAAGAGAACACCCACAGGACTTGTCTCTATGTAAGCTCTTTCTATAGCTGCCTGGAATGCTGTTCCCCCAGATACCATGGCCAACTCCCTTACCTCCAATCACCACCTCTGTCTTGAAGCCTCCCTAACCTGGCTCTTAAAAATTGCAGGCCCCACCCCCCATGGAGCAGACCCTGCTTTGCTCCCATCCTTCCTTCTTGTTTTGCAAATAGACTTGCTATCTTTCAATAAATGCTATCTTTCAATAAGTATATTGACTTACTTTACATATGCATTGCTTGCTCTTGCCCTGCCAAAGCGCTAGAATGTAAATTCTGTGAAGGGTTATGTCTTCATTCATTAATGTATCCTAGGTGCCTGGAAGAGGGCAGATGTTCTGTGAATGTGTGAGTTGCTCACATGTTTTTGGTGAATTGGCCTTTGTTCACTATTGTGGTTTGAATGTGAGATGTCTCTCATATTTACAAGTGTTTGAGCCCTTGGTCCCCCAGCTCTGCGGTGCTGTTTGGGGAGGTTTTGGAACCTTGGGAACACGGTGCTGGCTATCAGATGTAGATCCCTGGGGATGAACTCTGAGGATCCTAACAGTCCTCTTCTCTGTTTCCAAGCCGCCAGCCATGCTCTGCCACTGTGAACTCCACCATGACAGGCTCAAATCCCCCGAAACCATGGCCTAGCATTCTTTCTCTCTTAAGTTGCTTCTGTCTGGTCACGGCAGTGAGGAAAGTGACCAATGCACACACATTCAAAAGCATCCTCCCACCCAAAGATGGTCTTTACCAACTTAAAGCAGGCAATTCTTGTTTTTTCCTTTGATTCCTGGTTCTTAAGTAGCTGGCCTGGAATCACGGAGGGGGTATCTTTTGTCACACACTCTCAACCACCTCTGCCGACAGTCCTGCATGTGAGAGCAGGAATTTGGATGAGTGTGTTTCTGATGTCAGCTGCTGAAGATAGGGAATGAATGGATGGAAGTGAAATTTTGGATGGGACTTGAGTTGGTGAAGTTAGGCAAATGAAAGAGACATTGACGAGTGTCCCTCATAGAATGCCCCATAGGTAGAAGCAAATAAGGAGGAAACAAAATGTTAGGGACTAGGCCAGTTCATGAGACAGGGAACAAAGGGGAAACAGGCAGGAGGGGCTGGATCCTGCAAACCAGGAATGCCCGGCAGAGGAGTGTTGGTTTCTTATGGCAGGGGAGTGGGCTGATAGAAGGTATGCTTCAGAAGAGTTTCCTATTGCTCTAAACAGACCTCACTGCACAGTGGGGTCTGCTGGGGATTTGGGCATCAGCTGGTGAGGTCCGGATGGGTTAGTAAAGGAATACAAAGCAATCTTGAATCAACAGAGAATTTCCCAGCGTTTTGTTAGGAAAAACTCCAAATAGAAGTATGTGACAGTATGTTGTTATCTCTGTGTGTGACCTAGAATCAGCAACAAAAACAATAGAATTTACTTCCAAGAACCTCAGTGATTGATCATAATAGATAAAACAGACACACATACACACACATGCACACTCTCACACACCCCTGTACACACACACACACACACACACACACACACACATTTTCAATTGTTACAATGAGATCTGGGATTAAGTATTTGATCACATTTTCTTATCATAATTTCATAGAACCAAGACTGTAATCCCATCTGACCCTCTGTAGACGTCACCATTCATTAAGTTAATGAAAAAAGGAAGGTGCTGCCTGCCTAAGGACATCTGTGATTGTAATCACTGCCAGCAAGTTATTTTAAACATTCATGTTGGTTGAGTTGAGATGAAAAAAATGTCGTTTTATCTCTTTCCAAAGAAAATAAAAGCTTAAAATGTGGTAAATATTTGATGCCGTCCGTTCTTTGCAGATGAAGGGCTTGTCTAGCCTTCCCTTGTTAACCTCTCAGCTGGAAAAACAAAAAGGCAGACGATGTAGTGTGAAGGAAACAATCTTGAGGAAATGACACCCCCATGACACCCAGTCCTTTCGGATTTCCACATTGCTTCCTGTCCCCAGACATCAGTTTTGCTTTGTTTGTTTGTTCTCCTGTTGACCTGGAGTTACTTTTTGTGTCTGTCACTTCTCAGGTCCAGGGTGATGGCAGTTTCTCACCATCCTTGTCACTCACAGAGTCTTTCACAGGGGACTTGTTAAAATGCCAGTTCAGTAAACTCAACCCATTTCAGAGCCTCTGTTTTAAAACCACAGATGCCAACAACTCATCGAAGTTAAACCATGCAGAAATGAAGTGTCTTGTATTCGCTGCACAACAAACCACACCTCCACACTGGACAGGGGCCCAGACAGACCTGATATTGAGTCACTACTCTAGTATAGATAATCACGCCAGCAAGATTCCATTCATTCCGAGAAATGTGTCATGTTCCAAATGAACTTACATAAATAATATAGTAGTTCCGGAATAGCTTGTGTGTTCTTCATTCAGAAGAGTGTAAGGTGGTAGGGATGCTATAGTCAACTTTTGTATGGACTATTAGCTCCCCAATAATGACATAGAGACTTGCTATCAAGTATGAAAGCCAATAGCTTAGACTTGTTTCTACCTAGCTCTTATAACTTAACCCATGTCTTTTCATCTATGTTCTTTTACATAGCTTGGTTTCCTTTACTCTCTACTGCTCATGTTGCTTCCTATGGCATCTGCCCTTTCTTCTTTACAGCGTCCTCTGTGCCTGAAAATCCTACCTAGCTTTTGGCCATTTAGCTTTTTATTAAACCAAGCAGAGTGACACATCTTCACAGTGTACAAAAGGATTATTTTAACAGAGATGGGACCCAAGTGACAGGAGTTCATTCTGGACATGGAGACCAGGAGGGAGAGCACTTTCATCCAGTTCCTTGGGGGAAAGTTTTATCCCTCCCAACATATAATTCTTCAGTCAGTCCCAACTGTAGCATTTGTCTGGCTCCTGAAGACAGATGTCATGTTTCTTTTTTTCTCCATTCTCTTCAGATTCATTTTTAATTGCACAAGTGAGACATGAATGTGTTCTTGTCATGAAAGTAATTAATTCTATGGATGAAGGAAAAAAACTGTATTAATTCTATCTGTAGTAGTAAAAGGTAGGCCTGTAGGTTAAGTCACAAGGGTGGGTTGGTTTAGAGACCTTATAAAAGCACAAAGTGGCTTAATTTCCTTTTCCTTTTCTTCCACTGTGTGAGGACCTGTGCTTTGTCCCTCTTGGAAGATAGAGTTGAATGTACCATCTTGGAAGCAAAGATGGGACTTCTTACTAGACATCACACCTTGCCTCTCCATCTTGAACTTCCCAGCCTAAGAGAAATGTGTTGTGAGAAGTATAGCTCATTGTTTATGAATTCTTAGCCTGTGAGGTTTTGCTAATAGATGGGAGTAAGGCAATCCTGCAATCACTAACCCATTACCTTCCCCTTTAGGTAACCCTGTGATTACACCGCAGCAGCTCTAAATCTGTCCAGGCTTTCTCAAATGCATTTGCATGATCACATTTACACAGTCATCTAGCCATGTATTTGCATCAGCAGCAACACTTTCCCAGGTGCTCTGCAGCTTGCAGCTTCCAATCATCTGTGTCTTAGAAGCCTCCCCATAAAGCCGTTCGTGTGTTCTTTCCCACACAAATCTTTATGTCCCCTCCCTTGATACATTTTTTTCAGATATGCTAGAATTTCATTGTTATTCTTTAAAAAATGTAAGTTTATAAGTATTAGCGTTTTTTTCTGCACTCATGTCTGTGTACTGTTACATGCATGTCTGGTGCCCACAGAGGCTAGAGAGGGCTTCAGGGTTACTGGGACTGGAGTTACTGAGGATTGTTAGTCACCATGTGAGTGCTAGAATCAAACCTGGGTCATCTTCAAAAGTAGCAAGTGCTCTTAACTGCTGAGCCATCTCTCCAGTTCCCCATTAGTAACGTGTAGAATAGTTAAAGAATGTTGGAGGTGGCTGCAAAGGGGATTGCTTAGATTTAGGACTAGCCCCTTCCACTACGAACAAGACTCCCTGAAAGAGACCCCCTCTCCCATGACCTACTGCCGCCAGCTAGGCCCTACCTCCAACCGTCTCCTACTAAGGCTGTTAAATTCTGACTTCATCAGTGACTGGATCCATTGCTGAAATCACAGCCTTCAGCACTGATCACTTTCAGGAAGCCTGTTGGCCGCAACCAAGCCCCTAACACAGCAACCTTTGGGGAAAACACTTTCAAGTCAGCCTACAACAAAGTCCTGAGTGCATGTGTCACAACTTAACATTTCTGAGCAGATAATCCCCACTTTCCTGCCATGTCTGACTGGCTCTGGAACTCTGTCTTT